TCAGGTGAGTATGCCGCCATCTTTGTATATTATTAACTTTATATTTATCAGGTTGAGAACATTTATTTATGAAGCACGTAGAACCTCAAAACAAATTGTTTCTATTCAATCGACCGCCGGAGTCATATCCCAAAAGCTTCTCCAGCGCTCCGCATTGTCATCGTGCTTCCACCTCATGCACAAACAAAATGTTTCTGGATTCTCCACGTGAACAAACGTCTTCATCATGAGCGGATCGTTCGTCGTGGTTGATCCTTCTTTCAAACGACTGAAAACGCGATCTGTGCACCGAGCATCCAGAACCTTCACGAAGACCTCGACCTACACGCAAGTGTCAGTAAACTTACACCAGAACTACGCGCTCACAAAGTACCTTGCGTCTGTTGCCAATTGATTGATTCTCTTCAACAGATCCGGGTAGCATGTTGACGATGGGAACCTCAATGCTCATACCGTCGAACCAACCATGCATATCGCGAGAAAGCGCAAGCCTGTTGTTTGAGTCGCGATCGTACTTGGCGAATTCCCGTTTGTGGTCTCTGCTTTGCTTTCTCGACACCAAATGACAGCTTTCTGCCTTGCCGTACGGTAGGAAGAACTTCTCGTGTTCAATCCGCTGAAAACGAAACTCGTCAGTCGACGAGTCCAGATTCGAAACGCTTGTAGTCAACGATATCGATGAAACTGTGTTTTGAGGAGATTCCGAATCGTCTGGAACGTAGTCGCAGTAGAAGACGCGCTGAAGGTCAGTAGACACAGCGTTAACTGGTGCAACACGTGTCTCAACAACCTGGTTAGTTAACGGAGAGCCCAGTGTTTGCGGTCCAGTCCTTAAGTCAGTTTCGAAGAGCAAAGCAGCATCTTCTATAAAAGAAACAGAGTTAGCCTCAATAAAGCAGTAGTACGATGCAGCAACAACATATAGAAGCACGTACTTGTCTCGAATAGAACATGAAAACACAATTTCTTGTCTTCATACCAAAACGCGACATTCTTGTTGCCGATACGGCGCGTAGGATCGTAGTATCCAATGCGTAATGTCGCCATCCAGTACAGTTTGCAGCGAATCCCTTTCGTGTTCAACGCGTTATCGACGGACCCAGTAACGAGCCACAATCTTGTCCCTTGTTCTAGCCCTCCTTCCGGAACCTTCACCAGCACGTGAATCTGTTTCACTTTCGGAGCGTCCATGCCTTCCAGGTACTCAGAAATCGGATCCTCTCCCTGCAACTCCTTGTCTTTGTGCGTTAGAGATTCGACGAGATCAGTCTTCTCGCCCTTCTTCAGCTTCTTCACATCTTCAGAGAGGCTCGACAGCCATGCGTTGCCCCCCGCCTTCGCCAGGAAAAGCTGCAGCTCGTCGGCAGGAAACTGGTACATCTTCTCCACCTTGATCGCCTTCTTCAAGTCCCCCACCAATTGACCCGCGTCGATGTCCACAGGGAATGCGTTTCCCGCCACACCAACGACCGCACACACTAGCTTCACCATCTTTCCTCTTGCTGGCGGATTCTGGAATGAGGAAGAAGGGAGGGCGAGAATTTCCGTTCGTATTTAAGCGGAAATGAAGG